TTTTTTGCACATGCTTTTCAGTGAACAATAACACTTATATCATTGCTTTGAACGAAAGCAGAAGAAAGCATACCCTCTCTCCCTTCCCTGAATCACTAACAGTTTCTTGGTGAGCAGGTATGGTTCGCTTACAGTTCACATCTTACTGCACACAAGCCTGGAACAGCATGCTGCTTGTACAGTAATAATATCCTTTTATGGCTGGCCTCACAGTTCTGATCTGACATTACTCTGGATTAAACATAACACACCCTGAGCTCTTGACTGTTTAGGTCTATCGCTCCCCGTCTCTCTGCTCACACAGCACATGAAACATTAGCAGCCAGCTCCTCTCCTGTTGACAAACCATACTCAGGAGTACAGCTGAATAAAGCTGAGGAATCTGAGGGCTTAAGTTATGTCAGTATGAGGTTTATCCACAGGATTATAAGAGTTATTTTAGTGCTGAGATTCCCAAAACAAGCCATGCTTAATCTGACTAGCATGCCGGCCCGTTAGAGGAGATATTATTGATTACTAATTATTCAACTGTTATTACAAACAGTGGGTGACAGCACTAATTCATGGGGGATTTAATGAGATATAAGCCTGCACAGTGTGATTGGACTCTTTCTTTCAGCAAAAACAATAAAAAGCAGAAGGAGTCTCCACCTCTCTGCATGCAGGATTGCATGTGCTCATCTTAAGGCTCTGGTCGCTTGACTCATCTGGCTTTGGGGTTGACTCTTGTGACCAGGGATTGCAGACTGTGGCCAGTGGGGGAGCAGACAAAGGTCATGTGAGACACGTGGAAGACAGGACAGAGAGGGACAGAGGAGGGAGGGCTGCTGTTCCTGACCACAGCCCACACCTGCCGAGCTGAGCCCCACAATGCCTTCCTCTCCACAGGCCTGCGAGGAACGACTGACTGGTAATCGTGTGGGGTTAAAGGAAACTCCAGGCAATGTCATGCCCCCCCAACAGAATGATACTGCCGGTTTCAAAAAAGGAAACAGACTGCCATAAATGTGCAGGTTCACTTCTACTCATGCAGACCGAGACAGTTTTGGTTCTCAATGTCTGCTCAGATAATCATGTCACCTCACCACACAGCGGCACACACTACTGATCAGTACGGGATCTGTTAGTCCTTCATCTGACCTCTGTCTCTGTGCACAGTAACCACTGAACCATCTAATCAGGGGAAAAACCAAAAAAAACATCCAACTTATCATTAAATCTACACCCACACTAAGTCAAGGGTGGCTACTTGAGGTGAGATCTCTTCCCAGATATACATTAAGAGTCAGAACTGCCGACAGAGCAAGAGGTGGGGATGAGTATATCATCCATCCAGCATCATCAGGAAGCTGGTTATTCCAGGTGAGGACTGAAGGAATCCGGAGTCTACCTCAGAGGAACACACAAACTCCAATTACCTTAGCCAACTAGTCTTTGGAAGGTTGAAGAAACTCCAGCACCCGGAAAAACAACATGGGAAGAACATGCAAACTCCACACAGACTGTGCCTCAATCCAGAACCCAAGTCTGCACCCCAGAGCTGAGAGGCGGTCGCGCCGACCTCCATGCCACAGATCATTCAAGATGTCAGATGAGGCTGTAAATATTCCCATTTGTGCACCATATGAAGCTCTACAGCACTGAGCGATATCTGACTGCAAGCGATTTGAATTTACAGCGCAGCTGAAAGTCTGTGCTTTCCTCAGCAGATGGATTATTTGTTTAAACAGCCGTCTAACCTTAACATACCTGTCGCAGTTCAACAATCACAATTCAGCAGCACAGAGAAACCCATTTCAAAGGGTTCAGACAGATGTTTGGTCTACATTTTATTCAACAGTTTCCCACCTACGCCTGTTCACTTGAACCAAGATTTACAGCGGCATCTGTGGCCTAGGACAGGCGGGTTCATTTCTCACAAGCTATCAAACACCCTGTGGTGCTGCTGTAAAAAAACAAAACAAAAACTTCATGCAACAAAATGAAAATAAAATCAACGACACGCTCCTTAATTTTTATCAAGATCAAACGGAACAAAACCAGGGTGAGGTCAGAATTTGTTTCCCTGGCAGCAGGCGGATAATGAATTTTGACTGAGGAATCAAAGTGAAGCGCAGTTAGCTGAGAAAGCCCAATACGCCATCGCACAGCTTCTGCTCTTAGAAGACACCCCAGCTGTTAATTTTACCTTCAGACCGAGCTAGCCAGAGGGCAAAGGTAAAACCGAGACAGCTGGGACACTGAGCCACTCTCTGGAAAAACGAGGAAACTAAACAGAAACAGCTCGACAAGTTGAACAAAGTTTCTTTCTGGCTTCAGATGGGGGGGGAATCCACCAATCTTTGCGTTTCCACCAGGAAAAGGGAAGCAAAAAGAATTGCCGACTGGGAGCCAGGCAAGGAGATGGACAGACAAACATTCTACCTCGTTTGAAGGACCAGCGTTTCATCCACAGCTTGGAAAAGGAAGGCCAGGAGTTGTTAAGGGGGGAGTCCGCCATTGGGGAGGTCCGGGGACGAGAGGTGGGACCGCGGGGACGAGTGTGAGCAGGATTCCCAGTGCCGGTGTGGGAGCAGGGAAGGATCAGCTCATAAAGGAGAGAGGAGGATCGGGGGCTCTGGTACAGGGAGGGCTGGACGGAGTGAATGAAGCAGGGAAGAGGGAGCCGGGAGGAGGAGAGAGGACACCAGGGAGGGAGCAAGAAAGAGGAGGGGCGAGAGGGAGAGGTGAGAGACTAAGGCACTGGAAAGGACGAGGGAAAAGAGGGGAATCTGAGCTTCAGCTCCCTACCCTACAGCCAAGGAAACTGTACGCAAAGGAAGCAGGTAAGGATTAACACTTGAAATACCGGTAGGAGCTCAGAAGTGCTGGAGAAATGGACCGGACCTGCTGGAACACAGCCCTGGTCTTGGGCAGTGATGGGGGAAATCAGCTGCCAGCATCAGCAACGCAGACACACCGACATGACTCCCGCGCGAATAAAGACGAACGAGGCCAAAAGAAATTCGCTTTCAGGCATAAGCGCCTGTATTTTTATTTCTTCACCAACAATAGCCTGACTCAGCACATAACCTCCCTTCTAAATAAACCGCACGGGCTCCCTGGAAAACTTAGAGTAGATTTTACAAGTGCGCCTGCTGACATTATAAACCACTGCATGGTTTAGCTCCAGGTTTCCATCTCCCCTTGAAGACCTACTGCTGAGACTCAAGTCTTCACAAGATACCTAAGAGCAAGCTACAGTTCAACTGGAATTCATTCCTCAGATCGACTGCGGACATTTTTAAAACGCGCACAGAGCTTTTGAATTTGTGGGGAAAAAAAAACTCTTCCCAATTAAATGAAAGCACATTTGACAGTTCCAAGTTGTTAGTGCTTTCCGCCACCTGGTGGCTCACTGAAAGGCTGGTCAGTTATGCCCGTTATCAAGTTACTTAATTGCCACTTCTTGTTGTTTTGGAGGCAGACTCTGGAAATGTGATGCAGACTCCAAATTCGGTCACTTCGCTATGAAAAACCTGCCCTAAATATTTAAAGATTTCACATTTTACTGTTTAATAACGAGCCATATATCAGAAGACCAGCAGACAAAGGATGACAATGTCATGTCAGTAATTAAAGCGTAAAAGGAGATTAAGGTCAGTTGATAAACCCACCAATCCCGGACAGCCTCCATGAACACTTACTAGCTGGTTTGTGGAGAGGCTTCACTTTGCATTTTCACAACTAGAATATAGGTCACGAAGTCATCTCGTTCTTTTTCATCTCGCTGGTGGATTGAGGAGCTGGGCGCTAGATACACGACTGTGGTTTAGACGTAAAGAAGACGATAAGACTCTACCGCGTTTGTAAAGTAGCGAGATGGTTCACGCAACGTGAAAAACAAATTCTGTATCAACGCCGAGAAGAAAAAAAAACAACTCTAGTGACAGGACTCATGAACACACATCCTGTACATCCGCCTGAGGCACGGATCTTCGCTTGCAACGACGTTATACATTCAGTTTATTACATATTATCAGATTAAGTTTTTACAGTGGCATCATTGCAAAGTTTGCAGAATACTTCAGAGTAATCAACAGTAATCTGTACAGCTAAACTTAGTTTTTTTCCCAGACAAGGGAATGCTACAAGGTTTCATCAAGCATCGAATCTGCATCACTGATAACATAAGCATAGTTTCGTGAATTGCACTCTTTCAGGGTGCGCCAATGCTCAGCGACTGCAACAACTTCACAACAACGCAGGGTGCGAACGCGGCCGAGTTTTTTAAAAAATAACTCGCACAGCTTCCTGACGGTGCGTTGCGCAAAAGTCAAACCACCGGGCAACTCGGGGTTCGACGCCATCGAAATCCTGCTGAAGACATGGCTAGGGCAGCACACACGTACTCCAGCAGTTAATAACCACCTCTGTGCAGATGTATGCCTTTTAAGATGTGTTAATGCCTTTGAGGTGTTGATTATAGATTCTGCATCGCTAATAATGCGCTGTATAGTTATGCACTGCAGACTCCAACCCAAATGCATGCCGGTGGTTCGAAGTGCAATTGAAAGGGTGCTTAGGCTCGCTCTGGCGGGTGCAAATATGCTCATTTCGCCTCTTTCCAAGCTCCCCTTGAGCGGCATAACCGAGACAGAATCAAGTCACACTCCGAGCTCTTTAAACACCCCCCCCGCGTCCAGCACATTCGCGCACACACACTGCAGAAAAAAAAGTAGGACTTCAAATGAACTTACAGACGGGTTCAGAACATTCCCCCACCCTCTCCACTGGTATCCAACAGACTGTGGCGACTCCAGCTCAGGAGAAAGCGGCTCGCACCCCGGACCTTAATTATGAACCATCCCGTCCCGTCACCGCGCTCTCAGCGGGCTCTACTGGAAGAGAGGCGGGGAGGAGAGCAGAGCTGAGGTGCCGATTGACCGCAGGTTTTGACACAAGCGGCTTCCTCTTTTTTTTTTTTCTTTTCAGCTTCGTGTGCTGGTGTTCCTGTTGGCAGACGTGTTCCCCGCCGTTCGCAGATCGCGAAAGGAAAAACGAAGTGCGCGGAAACGAGCCTGTTGTCATTTAGTTTTTTTTTTAAAAAAAAAGAGAGAAAAGAAAACGAGGCGGTGGGAGATGATTGCGTTTGTCATTCTTTGGGTCAAGAAAAGTTCAACGATTCCCACACTAAAGAGGTGAATGTAGGGCATGAGTGTATCTTCAATGAACCCACTCGTGTGTCCCTACCGGCCTTTGATAAACCGTGGAAACGCATTTATTTGCACGACTGAACCCCTTTCGCTGAAAGCTCATACAGGATTAGCACGTCTCTCACTACAACCATCTCTGGTTGCTGAAACCCGCCTGCTTCCCTCATTCACAGTTTTGAAAGCGCGCCGAGGGGGAGGTGAACTGGGGAGTCCGAGGCGACACCTTTTATCTAAAGTGACGGCAGGTGTGTCAACTTCAGCTGCCAGTCCTGCCCCCCCCGCAGGCACAGAAGCCTCCTCCGTCTGGGAGGATGAGCCTGACCTCAATTCAATGAGACAGCAAGGAGAAAAGTCCGTCCCCGACCACCCCTCTCCCCCCACCTGACATTACTGGCAGTGTGACCCTGTAGGGGCTTCTTAAAAAAAAAATGTTCCCTCAACAGCCACCACACACTTCATACTTCACACTGTTGTTAATGTCCCACCCTGCTCTGCTGCGATCTGTCTTCTGCAGGCTGAATCTGCGGCTTCAGATATGAGCTCAGCAGCGGAAAGTGAGGTTTCCGTATTTCAGTAGTCAGCTCAGAAGCGCAACGTCGCACGGATCTAGAGCTGGGACTGTGCCAAGACCTTGTTTTTGTTGGATATTGTTTTTGGTCCCTTTCGAATGGCTTTTCCCGGGGGGGGTTTGTGGGGATCCCTAAATCACCCACACTGGATTCGCGTGTGGGAGAAACATAAAGACTGGGCGAAGCGCTGGGCAGATGACTTTTAATAGAGATGAGTACAGGGTTTGCTTGCAGTTGACAACAACATTACTTTCCAAATGCAAAATGGGAAGACGGATCTAGAGGAGGTCACTGGTGGAAAACGTTTTGTTGTCACATCATTTACATTTACCAGAACAATAAAAAAGCAAACACAATTTTAGGAAAGTTAAATGCCTACAAACCCAAAGCAAGAGATGTTATATTAGCATGGTGTAATTGACTCTAGTAAGGCCCCATTTAGAATATTGTGTACAATTGTGGTCGCTCTGTCATAGAAAATATATTGCTGCTCAGGAGTCTGTCCAGACTAGAGCAACCTGATTCATTTCAAAGTTTAAGAGAAGAGCTTAAACGCCTTTGTCTTTCACAGAGAAGACTGTGAGGGGGCAGGATTCATATTCAGAACCTTCGAATGCATTGTCAGAGCCCACCCACTGGACCGTCAATAGAACCACAGCAACAGGGACCCAAAGACACATGGGGAAACTACCCAGGAGTGCACTTAAAACTGAGAATAGGAGTGTCTCCCTTACCCTAAAGGTTGTGGGGGGGTGGAACAAGCTGCCCAACCATGTTGCTGAAGGAAAAACGCCTTGGTTTCTTTCAAGTAAATAAAGCTGCATTACTCGCAGGCTACTGTATATAGTCTAATTTTAATTCATTTTCGCTTTGTACTGTGTACCTGTAAGCTCCAGAAAACATACTCATGATCTACTCGTGTTAGAGCTGACTTCTCCAAACTGGCAAGAAGGCAGCCCGAGCAGCTTACTCATAGGCTATAGGCAGATCTCCTCTTCGAGAGCACATTTGAGAGGACCGACTATCTCCTGATGCAAACTGGAGGTGAGACTCGGTGCAGAAAAGTGAGAGAAATGTGGTCATAACAGCGGTCCTGATTCTATCACCAACAATCTGTCTGGGGTTTTGCAGAAGAGGTGTTTAAACCATGCGTGCAGTACAACACAGTGGACAATCACGGTCCTGGCCGAGGCCCAGCGTTGTGTTCCGACTGAAGCGGAGTTTCACTGCTCGTCTCGGAGAATTTGAAGGAAATATAAAATTCTCTATTGGCGTTAGAAACAGCCAAACCGAAAAAATAAAAAAAACTGGGCCAACTGCTGTCCTCTGTCGTATACTGGAAAATAATTTGACAGAGGATTTGAAACGAGAGATCCTATAGGAAACAGCGTCTTGGCAGAAAGGATGCGTGATAATATTGAGTTCTGTGTTCTATACCTGCTGTGAGTTTTTTTACAGCACTGACTCTGAGATATTTGAACTTTGCCCTCGTATGTCATTTCTTTGTGCACTCAACGTTTCCTTTAACTTCAATTTTATTGAAAAAAAACAAAACATCCGTCTTCTCCAAAGAGGAACCATGTATTTTTGAGCAGTCTTTTCAGCTATTTTTGAGTTTTCATTTTTTTTAAAAAAGGAAAAAGAAATCTTGCTGGAATCGTAAAACGTTTCCGTATCTGTCCTCCTTCTGACAAAGCCTGCCTTAGAAACCCACCTGGCGACCCAGCTAAGACCCCCCTGGCCTTCTACAGACCGGATTACCAGAACCCTTCCTGCTCATGTTAAGAAAACAGATTGTGTATCACTTACAGTAGAGTCTTTCTGCTGGAGGAAAGCTGGTAGAAACTGGCTGTGTTGAAACGTAATGGCAACAGTGACGTGGAGCAGTGTTCATGTTGCATGCTGTGTTTGTAAACTGTGGCCCTATTAGGCTGAACGCAATGAGAGCAATGATGTGGTCACTCTCCATTTTAAGGTGGTGTCTACTGATCTCCGAAACAGGGCAGTTTCCATAGCTCAGATGCCAGACAGAAGTAATAGCCACCAAAGAAGGATTAAGTTCCACATCAGCTGTGAATGAACTCGACGAGGGTAGGCCACTCTGTGGCATTTAACAACGTCTGCTAACACATCTGATCGGAGCATTCTTCAGCTGGGGTGAGGGGGTAGGAGGGAAAGTTATGTCCGTTCGAATTTCCCAAAATGTTTCCACATTAAAACAAAATTAAAAAAAAAACCTTCGGTGCCTGCCATCTCTCTGGGCTACGACAGGACTTCCAAACTCTCAAGAGGAGGTCTGCAATTATGGGCAGAGACAGTTGCAGGCAAGGACAGGAGAGTTCCCACTGTGTGGCATGGTTTCTCAATCAGTTTCATTCCAGTGCAGATACACAGAGCAGAGAAGTCCAGGCTCATCATCTGCATGTACAGTCTACAGCATAGTTCTTGGCTGAATCAATGATAAATTCTTGCAATTGCAGACAGAATGTAGAAACACCCCTATTTGGCAAATGCTCTCCGTCCATAAATAAGTAAGCTCACAATCATTACAGTCCAATCAACTGATGCCAAAAAAGATATATTTTCCCCCAATGAAGAACAGTGGAAATGTGTTCACGATTTGCACTGCACTGAACTTATAGCAACAGGAAAAAATAAAGTTATTTTGGACTAATAAGTGGGGAAAAACTGGGGAAAAAAACTGTCAGAAAATGAATTATGACTTCATCAAACAGGGACATCATCATCTGGTAACCATGGAGACGTTATAGACAGGAAACAACTGTGCTCCCTCAGGCCAAGGATAGATACCAACAGCTACCTCAGCTGTCCAAAGTGAATCAGTCTCCAGGTAAGTATTCCTTTTCAGGTTAAAAGGTTTGCTTTGGCAACACTGATTGTACCTATCGGTCATGCTAATAAAGCACCTTGAACTGAACTGAACTGAACTAAAAGACAAACTGTTTTTACTGGTATATGGTATCATTTACAATTATGTTTTGACAGGCTCATATAAACAGAAAAGATTCTCAGTTTGTTCTTGAAGAGCTTTATTTAGTTGATTTTTAAGTTTACATGCTACAAACGGAATACTACAATGTCTCTCCAGCTCACAACTTTTTCCCCTGGAGAAACCTTTTCAAAATGTGTATGCTGTTCCTTAACTTTATTTTTATCTTTGTTAAAATCACCGTTGCATTATAAAAAGTACTTGATGACAAGTCAATGAGATGAAAAATGTTGTATTTTGAATAATCAAAATCAGCATCCCTGCAGCCAAATCCAAACATACCGTCACCATGGCTACATGATGTCATACATGATGTCATAGAATTCTGAGGACAGAATCCCAGGAAGGAGTGACAGAAAATGTAGCTCTGTTAGGTTACTGGCAAACAGAGCTAACAGACTCTCCAATTATCTCTCCAAGAGGCCACAGCAACGTCTGTCCCACTGGTCCTGAACGTGCTGCACTGACGCACCTGTGGTTTATCAGCTGTTTTTCTGCTGCCAAGGTGTCTTCTTAAGCCCATAGGTGCTCTTTCAGATTTTGATTTAAAAGCAAGTTCTATTTTTTAATTTTTTAAATTTCTTTTTTTAAGTAATATTCAGATACAAGACATTTGTCCATGGCTGATTCCTTGTTTCAATATTTTTCAAAAATGTATTAGTAGTAGTAGCTGTGGAATAAGTATTTAGAAACAGCAATATAGTTTTGGACAATGACCAAAGCACTTATGCTGATGTGTCTTTGCTGTGTCAGGCTCCTGTTATGGAAAAAACTTTTTCCTAATCACACATTGCTCTGCGGAGGAATGGAAATCAGCCATCAAGCACAGGGTTTAAGTCATTTGTGGCTGGCATGGGAATCAGATCTCTGGTTTAAACCAAGCTGCAAATGACAAAATAGAGTCAAAACGCCAACAATCAAAAAACACACCTCCCGTTTCTTCTCTTCCTCTCCGGCCCGCGGGTTCCTGCTCCACAGCCCGGGAGCACTGCTGGACGGATCTCACCAAGATGGCCGGCCCGGAGTCTCGGCCAGCCGGGCCCCAGGGAGGAGCACGCAGCGCCGACAGGCTGGGGCTGGACAGCGCCAGCTACGAGCTCTTCCTCAAGGCCTACGCGAGCAAGAGGAAGAAGAGGAGACCAGCCGAGACGGGAGCTCTGCCCTCTGCCAGGGTGCTCCCGAGGAGAGGCGGCGGGGAGCCGGACTGTGGGAGCGGGACAGCTGGAGGGCAGGAGACCGGGGACCCGCGAGACCGAGGAGGGGGGCCCGACACAGGCCCTGCGGGGGTCAGAGGCGGGGAAGGGGGCAAAGTTGTCATACTGAGGAGGGTGGCCCCCATAACCAAGCAGGAGAGGGGCGGCGGAGGGGCGGCGAATGAGAAACCGCGTGCAGAGCCGCGCGCCAGCAGCAGAGAGGCCTTCCGAGCGCAGGCAGGCAGGGAGGCAGAGGGGCTCAGGGGGGAGGCCGGCGCCAGGGCCTTTCCTTCCAGAGGCCCGAGGCCGCGCCGCGAGGAATGGAGACCGTACTCCGCCGCCAGCGCAGAGCTGCCGGCCCGGGCCGTCCTGTCCTCCGCGGGGCAGGGCCGGGGGCACTCCGGCGGCTTCCCGGGACGCTCGGAGAACAAGCCGGCCCACGGCGGGGGCGGCAGAAACTCGAGACGCCGGCCGGGGGGGGGACCAGACAGGGAGGAGCTCAGGGTCTGGCGCCCGGGGGCGACCTCCGCGGCGCCGTTCGAGGGCGGGCCCGGCCGGGAGCCACTCTGTTACAGCACCCTGCCGGCGGACGACGGGGTGCTGCCCTTCCGCAGGAAGAAGGCGGCGGCCGCCATCTTGGGCGGCGCGTCCTGGGCCGACGACAAGTACTGGGCGTGCTGGGACGGCTGGGACGAGATCATCGACTGGGGGGACGGGGAGGAAAACACAGCGGAGGATCGTGGGCCGCAGCAGGGGCTGGCGCCGGCAGAGGGCTGGGGGGAGACTCCCCGCCTGTCAGACAGCAGTCAAGAGGAGACTCTCCCTCCAGCGAAAGATCAACCACCTCCTACACTGCAAGAGAAGCATTCAGAATCTCCCCCCCACCGGCTTCACAGAGTCCAGAGCTCAGGTCCCTGCACGGTCCTGGGACACCGTGTCCAAGAACACGTCTCCTCAGATCCTCTTGCAGTGAGAAGATCACAGATGTTGGCATTTTAACTGCTGTCCACCCGCTATTGTGGGTACTGAAAAGAATCCTATATCAAAATGGCTGTCTGACACTAATAAATGATGACTTCTATGATTGCGTGCGTTATTTCTGTCGCTCGCGGTTAGGAGGCTCATGGGGCTGATCGGTCATTGCTGTCCCATCAAAGCACACCAGAGCAGGGAGAGGCTGGGAGTACTCTAGCCTGCAAGAGAAAAGGCATGTGAAGCAGGGTGTGATGAAACGTTTGTGACTGTACAAGCGACATCATTTCCTTCCGTACTCCTGTCCGCCGACTTTTGTTTGAGAAAATAAAGACTTGAAGACCATACCTCTGAAATGGATTTTAAAGACGCAATTAAAATTGACTGGAAAAAAACCCCACAGATGTACACTAAAAGCGCCTTTTTTTGTAAAAGGGGAATGGGGGGGGGGGGGGTTCCACAAACCAGTGAACAAGGGGAACCTACACGGAAGTGTGTTTAAATCAGAGAAAGGGAGGCACTTCTTTGCCGCAAGGGTGGTGGGAGTGTGGAACAAGTCAACCAGGCACGCTCTTGAAGCTGATACCCTGACTTCTTTCAAGAACAGGCTGGATGAGGTCCTTGAGTCATTAAGCTACTCAGTACCAAGCAGGCTAAATGGCCTCTGATTTTTACCCTTTTCTAATGTTAAGGTGAATTAAAAAACGCTAAGGTCTCACTTCACACAGGGTTACACCATGGATCAGAATTATCAGTAGCAGGGAGCGTGGCTACACGAATTGAGATGCGACACAGTCTGTCTGAAGAGTTTGAAACATTCGGCATCTCGAAATGGAATTATTAGTGTCAGATGAGCACATAGTGCTTACAGTAGTAACAGGGGGATTTCAGAAAAGAGGAAATAGCTGGTTTCCATCTGTTTGCTGCTGCTAGGCCTGAGACCAACCTAAAATGACAGGTTGACGTGACAGGGCATCACCATTTCCTTCTGCCGATCTGTCTTGGGGTATTTATACCAGGCAAGTGAACCCAGAAGTCTGACACAGGCCTTCTGTGATGTTTCCGCAGCCCAGCTTCAAGGAAGTGGTGGAGGAAGAGGCAGGGCTTGCCTGGTTTCCATGGTTTCACTGAGCCCCAGACTGTGTGAAATGTTTTACCAACCTCTCGGAGGGCCCTGGAAGCAGGAGAGGTGAGACTGAGGGCCACAAGGTTACGGCATCCGTCACACATGAATGAAGTACAGGGCATGATGTTTTCCCCATCAATAATGCCATCAATAGGATGCACAGAAGAGATTTCAGACAAAAGCCAGATGATGGAGCCTCAAATCTTCTTTATCACCTTTCCCTATTGTTTGTCCTAGCAAAGGTAAAATTAAATATTTTGTAAATGCAGCATGGGCTTTTTCCTCCAAACTAGTCATTTATCTTCCTAATTGCACCTTAATTGATTAATTGGCCATGCTGCTGGGATTCACCCAGTGCTGAAACAACCCACGATGCTCCTGCCAATATAAGCAACTAGCCAGTGGCTGGGTGAGGCGGACCAGGCCTCTCTCCAGCATGTTTCAACACCACTACACGTCAACATGGAAACAGTTCAGACCGTCTCCGCAGAGGAAGCTTTGGTTGACACAGTAAACCAGTGATGTAACTCTAATGAGACGAACCGTTGAAACGCGACTTGTCTGGGATTCGTAGATGCATACAAGACCCATCCCTTCTCAGAACGGACGGTCAGCCACCTGCTTTGCCCCAAAACCGCTGGTTTTCCGTCAGGGGCGCTAACAAAGGCACTTCAGGGACATAGACTAGGCACCGGGGCATCAAGGTGAATCCATTCTGCACTAGAACACCCAAGTCACACTGCTTTCAGTCTTCCTGTAGGCCCGGATCAAATAATTTGCTTTTTTTAGGCCATTTAACTTATTTGAGCTTTTAAAGATGCAACAGAAGCAAAAGCAGTGTTCCCTTTACAAGAAGAAAATGAAAAAACGAAGAAAGTGCATACATATATGTTTATATGCGGAACACGGCGCAGTGGGACGCCCTAAAGAGTAGTTTGCAGCCCTGCAGTCGAGAAGACACAACCACAGTCAATACCACACGGCCGCTGTTCTTTTACGAAGCGTCACCTTAACCTCTTCTCAGAAATGCGACAATGAACGCAGAACAGCGTTTGTCAGCAGCGCCCCCCTGTGGTAAGTACAGCATCCCGCACAGGTCTCTCGTCCTGGCTGCTGACGAGAGCTCCGTCAGAAACGCACAGTTTCAGCCCGCTGGCACAGCGGCGTCGTGCAGACCAGGCTTGCTGAAAAAAATCCTCGATTTAAAGGTTTAACTGCACGCAACAGAGCGAAGGGATAGCGACAGAACGTATGTATTTTTTTTTTAGAATTTTTATATTATTTTTAATTATATTTTATTTTTTTAAAATTATTTTAGGTTTGTGATTGGCAACTTTGTGCCAGGTCAGGTGTTAGCAGAAATGTAAGCAAGTGGACTTAACTAGAAGGAAAAAAGATGATTGATTGATGGAATATTATTCCCATCTGTGCCCATTACAAACAGATTGAGCTTTCCAAGTCAAAAAGAAGGAAGCATTCTTAAGAACAAAGATGATGAACAAGAGGAGTTAATTGATGCCAAGGATCCCTTTCAAACATGTCCTCTGGTTTATGTTTCATTGTTCATTCTGAAGAAATCTGCTGGATTTCCTTTGTCAACTCCTTTGAGGATTTTGAATACGTTTATTCATCATCTTCTCTGTTCAGGACTAAAAAGGTTCAAATCCTTCAGCCTGTCAGCGTAGGAACTGAACCTTTTTAGTCTTTCAAGTCTTTTTCTTAAAGGGCGGAACTCTGTGGCTCAGGATGGAAGGTTGCCGGTTCGTATCCCGCGGCCGGCAGAGGAATCCTACTCCGTTGGGCCCCTGAGCAAGGCCCTTAACCCCAGCTGCTCCAGGGGTGCCGCATAAATGGCTGACCCTGCGCTCTGACCCCCAGCTTCTCTCCCTGTCTGTGTGTCTCATGGAGAGCAAGCTGGGGTATGCGAAAAGACAAATTCCTAATACAAGAAATTGTATATGGCCAATAAAGTGGTGTCATCTCAAACTGAAATGGAACGGAGTACACACTACACTACGAAAGTATTGTGTGGTGAAACTATTACAATGACGTGCTTTAGGTTATTTTTAAAACTTGAAACTTCATATACAAAAAAGTCTAAAGTAAGCAGATCAAGGTGATTCCGTGCCCAGACGGAAAGAAAACCAGCAGACGAAAATCCTTCAGGACCTGGATTCCTATAGGACAAGTTTAATAGTTAATAAGACAGCTACAGAATTACGAAGAGTAAAAAGGCCTAAAAACCTAGGCAGTAGTGCATAGTGCATAATTCCTTCTCACTCCAAAGGATCACGAAGCCTTGGACATATAGAAGGGGATCCCACTTCTTCCACCAGTAGGCGATGAGATTCTGGGCACCAGAAGACGCAGCAGAAGGGCTGTGTTGTGTCCACAGCCCGCAGAGAGAACACACTACACGGAAAGGATCATCACAAGCCAAGTACTCTCCGATAATTTTATTCATAATTTTAATATAAACAGTTAATTATTGAATAATTTACACACAGCAAGATTTATTTTCATTTCATTCCAACATGTTCTGTACATGTCACTGCTTGGTTCTGCTCGAAAACGTAGAAAAAAAATTGTCAAGCGATAATTAATCATGGCGGTTTTTGATCCTGTATATATATGTATATATGCACGCACATACATATACATATATATATAAGTTAAACAAGAAGTATCCTGCGAGACTACGCACATACTCTGGGACCAGCTTTGTGCACAGAGAAGAAAATAAGCAGCAAAATGATAAAAGACAGATAAAAAGTGAAACTATTGCAAACCTTAACCAATAACGCAACCACACAGGGCTTGAAGCCCATTGCTATACACGTGTAAACTGGAGCAGACCACTGAGAATACCAGGTGACCAAGCGCCCTGATCACTACAGCACTACAGACACTGGCCTGCTGCCGGATCACACTGTCAGGCTCAGGCAGTACTCATTACAGGTTTAATAAGGACACAGCCATGGCTAGATTAAGCATGATCTGTCACACACCCTTACTGCAATGACACTACTCTGCCCTCGTTCAGACTGTAGCATTTCACAAGAAATATGTTTCTGTTGAAACAGACCATTCAGTTGAAATAGCAGTATATTTTAGCGAAATACCCAATATGCACAGCTGTTAAATTCACAAACCAATAAGACATTGTGCTTAACACACTGGAAACATTTTTTCATAATTTACATTGAACCCATAAGAAGTATATTTACAACAAGCATTTCAAGTGTATATACTGCATATACACCAGTGTGTTTGCATAATTTCATTTAAGTATGTGTTTATAGAGTAACTCAAGGGCCACCATTAATATCAAAACCTCCAAGTTCAGTTGGGGAGAAACCTCAAAGTTTTGATACTTCTGGTTAAGGTCTCACTGGTACGTAATGTATTTTTTAACTTTTTAAAAAAAAAAGGTGGTCTTGTTCCAGTTTCACATGTAAAAACGTTGTAAACCTTTTCAGGAATCAAGTCTTGGGATTGAGGAGTATTGTAACCATTTTGTTTTTGCTGTAAATTCGCATAAGAACTTGAATCCTGGACGATTTGACAACAAGAGCGGTTGGGTATTTGCTTTCTGGAAAACAAATTCAGAATCTGTGATCTTTCAACGTGGGATAAGTGCTTACAAACGCGAGGAAGAAGGAACCATACTCCTTGCACAGGTAACTGTTCCACCAAATTCTGCTGTTACCTTTTTTTCCCCCAGGGAGTTGAAGGAACAGTGGGGAAACACAAGCAAGGGACATCTACTTGGCTTATTTCGAAAAACTTCTATAACATCGTTAACATTGTTAAATTTAATCATGTACAAAGTCAGAAACATGTTTTACAGTCAGAAACGTACTTTAATTCGGTTTCCCTATTTTGGCTAAAAAAAAATAGAAATTAACATCTGTAAAAGTAATACTCATTTCTGAACAATAAAAGAATCCCTTGATCTCCACCTGTGCTAAAATTCTAGCTTGCTTTGTCAAGTTGTCTTTATTTGGCAGGCAGTCGTATAAAACTTGGGATCAAAGTGCTCTTTGTGGATTCTATATTTACACCATGTGGACATTTTGTCATCGAAATGCTGCCCAAAATCAAGACGGCTTCCAGTCATTACTGAACAGTGTAGATTAAGACTTGTGCTGCTGGAGATGATGGCAGGGGGTAAGATTGTGCATAAAACTTAAGTGAGGATGAAACATATCAGCTAAGTGCCAGTTAAAAGACAAAGAATTCAGAAATATCCTGGATTGGAAACACAAAGCAAGCCAGGTTAAGCCAAGTAGAGACAGATTCTGCTCCTTTTTCACCTTGAAAATCATTCACATATCCATATACAGTAACAAGGAGCCAAGCAGAAAAAAAAAACAAGACTACCCTACAATTGGCCTTTTTTAAGTACATATAAAGAAATCTTTTTTTAAAATCACATCTTAATACTCCAGCACTTCCGCAAACACGTCAATTCCAAAAGGAGGGATGAGTTGCACCCAATCCTGGGAATCCTGAGCGTTGGATATTCCAACTCAGAAACTGGTCACAGTCACAGTTTCAAATTATTTTTGCCTAGTGCTCCACATCTGTAATTTTGCAACATTTTTTTCATTACTAAGACCTACCAGTAGGTAGCAAAAAGTACGCTGGTTATTAAGAATGAGAGAAGGGCAGGAACAGGCATCGGCCCAAGACTCAGCCAGACAGAGCTCCTTCTGCAGAGCCTCCTTGAAGTGCCCTGCAGCAGTTTAACCTGCGATCCTGTAGCTGTTTTTTTTTTTTATGGCCCATGAGACTGTCCGGGCACAACGGTCTCAGAAATAACTTTGCTCCAGTCTTCAGCAATTAAGGGAGGCCATGCAGATTCTGACAGAGAAATCCAACCACCTCAGTGTTAAGTGCCTGGTAGCTCTTGGTATCTTCACAGTTAAAAGGCATAAATTAAAAGTCAACTAGAAAACAGACAAAAACCAAACAAGAGCGTTGCCTTTCTTGTATCGCGCATCAAAGGGCTCCTCTTGAGAGAGTCAATTTTTTCCTCCATTTTGCCAATGCAACTTTAGATGCCTGATTTTTGTCCACTGAAACATGAGTCATACAGGTGGGGGTGCATCGTGCGACACTCTACGAGATTGACCGGAACATGATAAGTCTTTTCTTTTTTTCTGACAGTTAAGTTACTTGAAATGCTTAAAAGTGAATACCTGGAGACTAGAAACTCCCTTTCGCTTAAAAAAAAAAAAAAACAGGTCCCAGCAACTTTTCGCAAGCGAGAAAAAACAGAGTGGCGTTTGGCTCACTCTGCGTTGGTCAGCGTGGCACGACGCACCCTGGTTCAGTGACGTGATCTGCCCCCCCCGCCCCCCACCCTTCCGTGTGGCAAAAATAAATGGACTTATTCATTTCCGTGATGTATGGCTTCCAGTTCTAACAAAACTCTTGACAAGAGGGGTATGGCCACTCGTGCCCTTCTCCAGCGTTCGGGGCAGGTGAGCCGTTCGTGACGTGAACGGAGCGTATTGACGATGGGGCAGATGGGAGCAGC